TATTTTTTTCTTTCATCGATTGATAAAAATAAAAAGTGCTAAAAATTTTAATCGAAAATGCTCTCGAAACAATGGACGCAATCTGCCTTGTTATTAACCTTAGTTTCTCAATCAGTTAAGTCTTTATAGGTTTTTTCCTTTTTCTTTTCATTTTAGTATTCTCATTGTTATCAGGGAAATTTATCTGCCATTCGTTTTAAAATAACGAAATTACGTTTTTTAGTTTTATGCAATATAATTAGTTCCTTACTTGGAAAATTCCCTAGAATTCGGTGGCGTATTTTTCTTAAATATTTAAAATGAAAAATAAAAATTATATACTGTGATATTTTTTCAGACATTAACTTTGACTTACGAACGCTTTGACTTCAATCTGTGAGATAACAAAGTCCACCAAGTTCCAATAGCAAATCAAAACCTCTGGGGGTACTGTACCTTGGTCTTCTTTACACCATTCTTCTATGCATTTAACTTCGTTAATGAATCTCATTTTTACCCTAATTAATCTTCGAAATCTGCATTATTGGTGTCCAGTCATCATTAATACAATGAAATTAAGGTCTATTGCATTAAAATGTTATTTCAGAGTAATAGCACCTTAGAACATAAACAGAATTTCTGCTCTACAACTGTACCTTGGTCTTCTCTGCACCATTCTTCTATGCACTTAACTTCATTAATGAATCTCATCTTTGCCCTAATTAATCTTTGAAATCTGCATTATTGGTGTCCAGTCATCATTAATGCAATGAAATTAAGGTCCATTGCATTAAAATGTTACTTCATAGTAATAGCACCTTAGAACATAAACAGAATTTCTGGTCTACAACTGTACCTTGGTCTTCTCTGCACCATTCTTCTATGCACTTAACTTCATTAATGAATCTCATCTTTGCCCTAATTAATCTTTGAAATCTGCATTATTGGTGTCCAGTCATCATTAATACTATAAAATTAAGGTCCATTGCATTAAAATGTTGTTTCATAGTAATAGCACCGTAGAAAATGAACAGAATTTCTGCTCAACAAAATCACTATGGCACATGTTTATCAGTGCTAAAAAATGGACTACACTGAATTACATTTGGTTTAACTATCGTTTTCTCACTTACTAGGACTTAATCTTAATAGTTCCAGGGGCTGACCGTAAATATGATAATTAGTAAGTGCAGATGATATTTTAAGTTGAGAAATAAGTCACTGAAACGTACGTTTTCCGAATAAACATACCTTTTTTCCAAAGGATTCAGATTTCTGAACCGTAAAATATTTTTTTAAGTATTGGTTTTTAACTTTTATTTTTCCATTTTTTGTTGGCAAATAATGTTTTTTTTTTCAAATCACTTTGCTTCTTCTCGTTCAGGTCTGGAAAGTCTTGAAAATGCATGTCTATTTTTAGAACTCTTGAAAGATGATGACTATTATATCCAATTTGTAATTTTTTGAAGAAATTTCAATCAAGAAATATCTTACCGCTTCAGTTTCTTGGAATTATTCATTTAAATATTTTTTTTATTATGTGACCTTTTATAAGTCCCAGTTAACATATAACCTTACATAAGAAAAATCACAGGTTGGTACTTCCCGTTCTATGGTTAATTGCTCTCATCCCTTACTTTACTATGTGCAAAACAGAAACCTTTATAACACATAGACATTTACAAATCCCTAAACAATCTTAGACATTTATAAATCCCAAAAAATTTAAATATTTATTTAAAATCAGTGCTGAAATGTATGCAAAAATGATTACAATGAAACTAAATGTGTCTCAGGGAAATAATTTCAATTGAAAAAAAAAACTAAATGAATTTGACATATCAATTTTAATTCTCTCTGAAAATAAAATCTTCATAAAAATAAAGACTTGTAGCGTTCATTTTATCCAACCCGTGTTTAATTTCTCTCGTAGTTGCTTCATTTTATTTTTCTATTTGTTGATTAAAGAATGTGTGGAAGTGATTGTTTCTTTTTTTAGTAAAATAATTATCGTTTATGGGCCGAAAAACTATACAAAAAAACGTCACAATCTTATTTAATGTTGTAAACTTTAATTTATGCATTTTTGTCCCAAAGAAAAAATAAATAAATTCTCAATTTATGTTAAACTTATAAAAAAAGCAGCGAAAAGAAACATGTTTTCTCTTTCTGAAAACACAAGGAACAAAACAAAATTACTGTTCAAAACTTGGCACATTATTGATTTTGCTGCCAGACTTCCCTCTTTACTCAGTAAAATAAAAAAATACTTTTTTTTTCCATTTTAACTCAAGTACATGCCATTTTTCTACATGTTTCTTGCTTTAAAGATTGCTGTTTTAACAATTAATGTGTAAAACGAAGTTAAAATCGATTGTAAGATTTACTGAAATGTTTAAATAGATTTTAATAATAAAAAAAGATATAAGTTTTTGTTGCTTTGTCGATTATGCCCATATAATGTGTAGGTATAAAAGTAAATATTCTTCGTTATAGATATGTTTTATGTTACAAAATGTGTTCTAATATTCAACAACATAAATGTGTGTTATTAATATGAATAAGTTTTGAAATTTAATAGGATTAATATGATCGAACTAATATGATAGAATTAATATGATCGAACTCATATGATAGAATTAATATAATTATATATTATAAATGTACTGCTATAATATACTAATAAACTGCTACTTTTTCAAACTACTTTATGTATCTCATATTTTGTCTTGTAAAGAAAATTAAAAGTTATTATAGTTTAATTAACAAATACCAACTTTTTTTGCGCTTGAAAGCTTCGGTGGATATTGTTTTTTATTTTATTTTATTTTATTTCACCGTTTTCTTTTGATCAAAGATTACAGCTTTTTACTTCAATTTCCATTTAAATTTTTTTCTGCTCTAGTTTTTTTCCTTTTTATTTTTTGGAGAAAAAAGAAAAAAAACAAAATATAATTTTTAACTCGCAAAATTTAAAAACAAATGAGTAAATAAAACATTATTTGCATAAAGTTTACGTCATTAACTGCAAGAAGACAGAAAAGAAGGTTAGAAACTTTCCGTAATGCATGTCTTCCGATTATGTCATTGATCATATTTACGACCAAAATGACAGCTAGAAAAAAAAAAAGTTTTTAACGAATCACACCAAAAAATTTCTATACTATAAAAAAACCAAAATATAATTTCTTATACACAAGACTTGAAAAGAAATCAGTAAATAAGACATCATTTGTATTAAGTTTAGATCGATAGCAACAAAAAGACAGAAGGGAAGGTAAGCAACTTTTTATAATGCAATGCATGTCTTCCGTTTACGTCATTGATCCTATTTATGAGCAAATCGACAGTTTGTAAAAAAAAGTTTTTTAGCAAATCTCACCAAAAAAAAACTAGTAAGCAACAAAACAGCTTTTCTAATTTTTTTTTTAAATATTACCCTCAAACTAGAAAAGAATCAATAAATATTGTGCTTAAGTTGCGAAGAAAATTAATTATTCACATTTATCCTTTTTAACATAAGAGATGCATTAAAAAAAACATTTTTCTTAAATACATTAAAACTACATAAGTTTTTTACACTTTCAAATACTTAGGATGATAAGCCGACAGGACTGTTTAGGGGTCAGGGAACTGGCCTTGAAATCAGAAAGTTTCTGGGTTCGAATCCCGGACAAGGCAAGGATGTTCTTTCATTCTCTGTACTATAGTTCGTTCACCAGGAGTTGGCTCTCGGTTCCGCCTTCATCACGTGGTATCGGATGATACTATTTCGCTATTTTGGGTAGAAGGATGTGAACAAGGCTGCTATTTGGCGATCGTATGACAAAAATATTTATTTCGCAATCTTCATGTGCATATCTTGAACATGTGCATTTTATTTTATAAACTTGTTGATATTTCTCTCTTTCTATAGAATAGTTTGTTCTTTTTGAGATATTTTGCAGGGAAAAAGTTTTTAAACATAAATTAACTAGAATAACGAAAGGTATAATAGCTGATGATAAAGCGAAGTAAGTGACTGAAAAAGAATTCACTGTTTGTGTTTGGCCATCACCTTCTATATGAAAAAGCCTCCACACGGTTTCTTATAAGTAGTCTGTGCAGACTATTTAAAAAGTGAACAGTTTGAGAGCATGGAAACAAATTCTATTTTGAAAGTGACGGAGAGGAATTTGTCATATATATTTGAGAATTGAATATGTAGTGGTAGACAAGTAAATAAGACAAACTAATCATATTAAAAAATTTAAAAAATTTTTTAGACATATATTTGCTAACACTTTTTTATTTTTACTAGATTTTCTATTAAAGCATACCTGCCAACTTTTAATCCCTTCCATTATCATTTTTCCCAGTGGTATTAAAATGGAATTAAAACTTCANTAGTCTGCGCAGACTGTTTAAAAAGTGAACAGTTTGAGAACATGAAACCCAATTCTACGAAGTGACTGAGAGGAATTTGTCATATATGTTTGAGAATTGAATCTGTAGTGGTAAACAAGTAAATAAGACAAACTAATCACATTCATAAATTAAAAAAAACTTTTAGACATATATTTGCTAACACTTTTTTATTTTTACTAGATTTTCTATTAAAGAGGTCTTTGGTAAACTGGTTTGCCTTCATAGTGGTCTGATTGGACTACCTATAAAAAACCGTGTGGAGGCTTTGCGCGCGTTAGAGGTTATCTCGATTTCAAGCGGGGAAATGCTTTTCCTCTTACTTCCCCGCTCTGAAATGAACTCTGCGTCCGAGGAGGTGGAGTCAAGTACCAACTCCTGGTGAACGAACTATACCTATCATTACTGTGGGACAAGGTCGGCACACTCAATATGGTGTCTCTGAAAGAGTGCCCAACAAATCTGTCCTAATACACCTGAATTGACGTTAGTCCAGGTGGGCATGTAAAAGAATAGTTAGGATAACAGAAAATTAAAAAATTATAAGTATACATTTTTAAATAAAATTCAAGCATTTTAAAATGTTTCTAAATGTATGTATATTTTTTTAATTATAGATTTTACAGCATGAATAACGGTGAAGAATATACTTTTCTGATAACCTCCCATGTGAATATAGGGGAAATAAAAAATGTTACCATAAGATGGGAAGAAAATGGCTCTTACGATGAACGTTGGCATCTCGGTGAGGCTGTTTGGCATTTTAGAAGTACGAATGTCAATATTGAAAGAATAAACGTCACCCGACTAAATTTTGATCCTTCTACTGGGTAAGTTTACAAAATAATAGTTCTTGTTGTCATTCTGTTTAGCAAAATTCTTTGCATATTTAGTATTGAATTAACTGTAAAAATGAAACTTTTTGCACTGTTTAGGGAAAATTTTGCCACAGAGTTCCCTGTTTAGGCAAATATTATCAAAATGAACCATAAACCAACAACGGAATTGAATTTGATGAAATTCTTTGACTTTACTAATTACTTATTAATGGGACTACCTTGAGGCAAATCTCTACATCGTAGATCATTCCCATACAAATCCAATGTATTATTTTGTTATCAAACAAATGTTTTATATAAATTTCATTTTGTTCATCGACGAGAGGATTTGTTTAATTCTTTAATGGGTCAGTTATTTCACTCAAAATCAAGGGTTAATCAAATTAATTTTGAAATTTAAATAGGCATACGGAAAGAAATCAATCAGCTAAGTAAATAAAATATATTCTTTTATAAAATAAATTTTATAAATGCTATCAATTGCAAAATCAATTGTATATATTATCATTTTTATGCATTTTCTAAAACTAACACCTGGTCGCCAAATTTTTTCAAATATGCATCAACAGAGTTGACAATGGATCAATTTAAAAATAGAAACAGAAGTTTAAAGTGCTAAAATAGTTTATCATGACATTTAAAATTGATGTCAAGTATAAAGTCTTAAAAAAAGTGAAACTAGATCGTAGCTGCCAACTTTTACAGCAGTTGAGAAAGTTTTTTTAAAATTATTTTTAGCAACAATTTACTCTTTTGATGTATTAAATCTTCAATTTAAAGTTCCAAAAGAATTTTAGACCTACAAAGACAAATCAATAATTAAAAAAATTTGTATATATGATCTATTTGTTTGTTTATTTAGCACTTGACNCTGCTCTGCTCTCCTTCTTGTTGTTATTCTGTTTAGCAAAATTCTTTGCATATTTAATATTGAATTTACTGTAAAAATGAAACTTTTTGCACTGTTTAGGGAAAATGTTGCCTTTTGATGTATTAAATTTTGCTCTTTTGATGTATTAAATCTTCAATTTAAAGTTCCAAAAGAATTTTAGACCTACAAAGACAAATCAATAATTAAAAAAATTTGTATATATGATCTATTTGTTTGTTTATTTAGCACTTGACCAAGGCATTAGTAAAATGATACAAAATATTAAAATCTAAATTAACAAAGCTATCTTTGAAAAAAACGCGCTTAAAAGCAGCAGAATTTTCAAAATTAAGAATAATTGAAGCAATTAAAAATCAATGGAAGTAAAATAAAAATATGACCACCGAAGCCGACGTCTTCAGGGGGTACCGGCCTAGGTAGCCATAAAACAAAACCTTTTCTATTGAGAGAGAGGACGAATGCCAAATTAACTCTCTCAGTATCACGAAGGTTTTGTATATATCCAGGAAAAAATAAGTGAAATACATAAAACCATTCAGAAAAGAAATTCAAACAAAAACTTGAGAAAATAAAAACTCACATTAAACCGGTCAAACAGCGATTTCACAAGCAAACTAAATGCAAAGGAAATACTTAAAACAAATGAAAACAACGCCCTCTATTAAAATGCGCAGATTGAAAAAAGGAGAAGAAAGGTAAAAGAGAGGATTACATAACAAATTAATATAATGCTTAACTGGGGCTGCTCAGTTAAGACTTGAATTGCGCCCTGTTAAAAGAAATAAAAATCTAGTATTCTTCAATCATTTTCTTAATCAAAAAACTGACATTACAAAAGTTAAAAGGAAAATCATTGTTACACAAGTTATTCACAGCCTCCTGAAAACTTTCAACGTCATTGCAAACATTTTTAATCCTAACCAATTGTGAAAAAACTAAATTTTTGAAAATTTTATTGCACAGTTTAGTATTAAAGTTGCAGAAAAAAAAACTTAAAATTTAAAAGCTTTTATTTTATCAAAAACATCAATTGATAAAAGAAGTCTTTAACTAAATTTTTAGCATCCAACTTCTAAGCTTTGAGATGTGATGTACGCATGTGAGTAGCTGCTATTAAATATCAAAAAGCATAATTTGAAATTATGCTTTCTAAGCATGATTAAGAAAAATATTGTTATAAAACGAACGGCCTTTTTCTTTTTATTTAACTAAAACTGGGTGCCTGGGACGCGCAGTGGGCCATTAACCCATTCATCATGAAGTATTTACAAGTTGAATTAAAAAACATTTTGAAGTATGCAGCATTTAGGTAGCATTACAGAAGATCAATCATATATGCTTGATAAATTAAACATGATATGATATTTAATATAAGTCATGATTTATGCAATAATCAGAAATTTTCGTGAATATAAAAGCACAATTGATTTTTAAGCATTAATTGGTAGATAAAACGAACGGTTGTTAAACTAGAGAGGCTTTATTGAAATTTATTTTAAACTAAAACGTGGTAAGTTCAAAAATGAGAAATTTCTTTGGAATGGAGTAAAGAAGAACCTTATACTCACCATGTAGAAGGTTGAAGAATTATGACATTTTAGTCTATCTAGCTGAAAGCCCATATTTTGAATACCATGGAATGTTAATAATCTAAATGATTAAATTTCGATTTCAAAACCTTGTTGTTTGTAACCTTTTAAGGCACCACAACGACTGCTAACCATAACGAATGCTTGTAAATAGTGAACATATGATGGATGGGATAGGGGCCCCTTTGCGGTCCCCATTTGAACCACAGTGCTGTGACATAATGTTTTTAACCATTTACCTGCCGAACTACTATTTGGCACTTACAGAAAAAGTGCCTTTTTGGAAACCTTGTTGGAAGGTTTGCATATAAGTTATATGCAAGTTTTCTTCGATTGACTACCAAACATGCCAACTGTTCCGCATTCAAAAAGTAACTTAACCGGTTAACGTCCAGCGTCATATATTTAGGACAGTTCCTTTTTTCAAAGGCATTCATTGTGGTGGGAAACTTTTTTCGGCATTTTCATTTATCTGGGTGAATTAAAAGATTCTCAGATACCACAATGATTTAGTTATTTCTGATTAGATCTAGAATTATAAGGAACTAGTACTTTTTGATCTATCAAAGACTTTTTGAATGCCATAACAGTGGAAAAACCAATTAATTTCGATAATATATTAAACCACTTTTTGTATCATTTCCACCTATAGATTCGGGACAAAACGGGTTAACTCTAGGATTTACCTGAAACCACCAGTAGGGGTTAATTTAACTCTTATGAGAAATTGATGTTATTCCGAAGTAAACGATATTTTCATTGATAAATACAGCTATTGCTGTTGTAGTCGACCATTAACCCCTTGGGGACGGGTGATTCAGAAAAGCATTCGTGCAAAATCAGAATCTGGATGTAAATAAAAAACGGTAACTTAATTGTAGTCGTTGCTAATTTGACAGACTTACTTTGCTTTTACTTAAATTATTGTTAGTTTAATTATATATATAATCAATGTTAGTTCAAAGTATAGCTAAATAGTTTTATTTTGAACAAAGTAATGGTGAATTAAATAAATCAAACAATTATACCTCTGCCCACAAATAAACTGCTAAAGAATTACTTTGATTACCAGTTTTATCTTTTTACCCTGATTGATACGGCTTTATGCTGGCACGTATTTGTGACAGTCGGCGCGAAAGGGTTAAAGCAGAGGGGATGGCACCTATTCGACTTCTGCCACACCCATACGTCACACCCGTTTATAGGGTACACCCATTCATACAACCATTCATTGCTCCACAGATCAAAATTTTGACATGAAACAGAGAACGATCTATCTCCAATTCAGTACCCCCAGAGGTATAATTTGTTATGGGAACGTGGAGAGCTTTGTAGCCCGACTGATTTAACATGCATCAGTCATCAATTATTACACTGGAAGTCTTTGGCTGGGTGAATTCGAACTTCAGTTCGAACGTCTGAACTAATAACTTAAATTTCAAATGTTCCGAACTGAACAACTCCTTTCAGCACCCTGCCAACCCCTATCTCGACCCCGATGAATATTGTTAAAAAATCATATATAAGGGTTTTTATATAGAGATAAAAACTTTCTATTGTTCATGGGATGACAATATAACAATAGAGTGTAATATTGTATGTCACAATATTCTTTGGCTGGAGTTAAAGGCATATGAAAATAAAGGTAAGACATTAATATATAGACAATACGCATTAGCGCACGTGTTTTACGATGTCCTTCCATTAGTTATTAGCAAAGGCGTAGAGTCTATCCGCTTGACATGAAAGTAGTAATTAAATATCCATTGGAAATTGATTTCTAGCAGGTCTCATAGCTGTAAGAAGTTTTGAATTATCCAGAAGTAGTGATGAATAAAAACTTTATGAATTGAAATTACTCTGCCAAAAATCATACATTACAAGACCCTTCTACTGGAAAATATTTATCTGCTCTGCTCTCCGGAGCAAGCTGGCATTTCTAAGCTGCAACTTGTTAAAAATGCAACGATTGTTTGAATTCAGAATGAGATGCATAATTCAAGATATATTATTTTATATAATTTTGGTTGCTAGAAATTTTCTGTTTTTTCAACTGTAAACGCAAAGTATGAAGAATTGTAACCAGTCTTTAACATTTTGAAAAGCAGACATGTTCCAAAATTGGAACATTTGCATCTAAACAGTTAAAAGCGGCACGTCATCTAAATAGCCGCATTCCGTTTTATGACTGTATAATGATGACAGCAACTGTGTTATAGGGCGTCTAGAGAACTCAAATTTCCAACTTGCAGTTGACAACCTTATATTTCTGCATCAAGTGCAACGATGGTATGGGGTGCCATTAGGTACGTGTGACGAAAAAATTTTTTTCTTTTTTTTTGCATTCCTGGTTCTTTGAACATCAACCGTCATATTCCAGATACGCTAAAACCCGAATCTCTGTCCTATATTGGCGTTTTCTCTAACACTCTTTTTCAACAAGAAAATTCACGACCTCATGTTTCTTGTACTGTCCAGACTCTATTTTTTATTTATTTTTATAACCGTCA